ATATATATATCATATATAATATATGGGAACTTTTTTGGCACTCACGTGATCAACAAATGATGTTCGGACGTACACATTACCCAGCTGAATTTATTTATTCAATCAGGAAGAAGATATCGGTTGAAACAGGTGCGGGTAACGCGAATGTACACTCAGAGAAATATCATGTCATGAAAAGCATATGAAATTATATTAATTTAAATAATCGGGTAAATTTGATTCAAATAGAAAAATTTGTAGTTTTATATTCATTTACCAACAGTTTTAGAATGTTTTTAAACACTTTTTATGTTTACCCTCTTTAAAATATATATACAAAAAGAAATCTATTTATTTCATTACCTTTCTCAACGTTGTTTCAAAAAGATATGTATTATACAATTGTTATACACCTATTAGTTTAATGGGACACACCAAAACATATTTGAATCCCCTTGAATTATTATCGTTTTGAATGATTCTACAACATTTTTTCTCTCAGTGTAATAATTGTTTGTCCGCTAAGTTACTCAAAAAAATAATAAAAATAAGGTAAGAAAAAATACTATTTTTCATGTTTATGTTTATTTTAGGGCACTAAAGCTCATTGAGAGTAATTAATGACGGTAATGTCTTATTATTATTTTTTAAATATGGTTTTACAAAACTTTTTCCACTGCGTTACCGAGTCTATTATGTTACCTTAGGGTAACGCAATGGAATTTAGGGTAACGCAATAGAATTTTTCGACAACAAAGTGGATATTTACCGTCGCTTTTATTAAAAGTAGTTTATGATAAACCAATTTAAAATTATTTGTGATTACAACTCATGAAATAGATTACATCCAAGGGAAAATTCCACGCAATATACAAGTACTAAAAGGGACCTTCACCAGCTTATAGTCAAAGAAAAAGGGTGTCTATAATTAAGAAATCTAAGTTGTTATTCTGCAAGTAAGCATCACTACAAGGGATTTTGTTTTTAGGTTATCTGATTCCTTTGTGTACCCCAGTCCGTTGTGATACCAATGTCTATTTCGTTACTTTTTTAGTTTTTGTTACAAAAAATCCTTAAAATGATTTTACTATCACTTGGTAATACCTGTTTATAAATTAGAGTTTAACTCACTAATACAGTTACTAAAAGAAAATATTAATGGTATTGTTTTTTTAACAAAGAATCGGAATGGTGTCTTTTAAAAAGTAACTTAACTAACATAAATATTTAAAAAAGGCATACAATTTTTAATAAAAAATAAAATTGGAGTCAAAAGTTTGTGAACTAAGTACATTTTATTTCAAATTATTTTTATAACAACTTTTTTATTGAATTAAATTTTGGATTTCAAATTGGTAACACAGTGGAGATATATAAAGCTAGCTAAATTCATTTTTCTGAAAAAAAAAACGTAAAAAAATATTACAAGTGCACTGCATGTCTTAAATGTAAGTAAACAAAACTCTAAACTTTGATGATCTTCATTTTTCTGAAAGCGGGTGTTTCTTGAAAATTACCTATAAACATAAAGTATTTCTTATTGCCATGATAATATGATAACGAAAATGTTCAATTTACTGTCCCTTATTAATATTTTACATACTAAATATATATTTTTTTGTAGTAAAATTAAAGAATATTACTGCCTTAACGCTAGTCCACATGCATTTTGACAAAATATTTAATATTATTAAAATCTTATAAAAATTTTAGTTAACAGTACGTGATATGTCACGTTTGTTAGTTGTCCCCCGCCAGAGACACTATATTTCAATTTCAATTTTCCTATTTATAATATTAAAGTTTTAACTTCAAAAAATTTTTTTTCATCTCATTAAAAAATATTAGTAAATGTTTTTTATATCCCCATAAATAATTGTTTTATAAGTGTCCCTGGATGACTTTCTCACCTCCGTTAATATAGACATAAATTGTAATAAAATATCATAGATGGCTCTTATATTGCCAGGTATTTGTTAACCTAAAAAAATAGATATTTTTAGTTTGATTCTTGGTGCGTGACATATTATTTTTAGGTTTTTTGGAACATTTTCGAGAATATCAAGTATTAAGTGTTCTAACGTGGAGCATAATTCTCACTGCTGTTAGTGGTTATCAAAAGGTAAGCAATTAGATATTAATAAATATAATTATATATTTAAATAATATGAATAGGCAAGAGTTTATATTGTCTGGGACCGGGGTCTTTATAACCAGTAGACAGGTCAATAGCGGGAAATTTGAATAAAAACCTCACACCCGTTAATCTCACTGCTGTTAACAGCTTTTATAACGAAGGTGAGACATGTTTACGTAAGTGAGGTTTTATAGTACCTATTCTGGTATATTTGTAAAATGAGGAGTTCGTTAACGTTTTCTGTTAAATTAATCTGAAATGTTCAGTTCCTAACACCTGAAAAATATTCAGCAGTCAACAAAGTCCTAGTGAGGTCTTCATTATTGAGATGTATAAGTACTCTGACGGTTTACCTATATCTTCATGGGTTAGCAATCAGTGACAAGGAAAACCGATCGATGATTTTGTGGTAGTTAAACTGTGCAGTAAAATAGTATATTAAAGAACTAATTTTCTTAATTCACTTCTCCGTTAATATCAAATTTAAGTTTTTACAGATATTTTCTTAGATTTTTTTTTTAAGCTAAGGGTAACTGATACATATATGCAATAATATACATACATATCTAATTACACTGTGCAACACCAAAAATCAAACCGCACCGGACTATTTTTTTCTGAAAATATACCTATCCAATAGCAAAACCCTCGCTGGGTTTGTAAATGTTAGCTCGATTTATTTTTTTATGGCCGTTTGTATTTTATAGCTTTATATACCCCAATTTAGACTTATTAATCGATTTTTTCGCATATATTCGATTTATATCGTCAAGATTTTTTGTAGAAATGTAGTTACTGAACAAATAAACCCATTTTGTGAACAACCTATATCCCAAAACCCAATTTTTGGGACCAAAAATTCGAAAAATAATTTTTTTTTTCATATTTTTCGATATTATTTAAAATTTCTTGCTACTTCTTCTGGCAAAAATGTTGTAAAGTATACTAAAAGAAGTAATTTATAAAATACGGACACAAAACTGAACTTTAAGTTTACTTATTTGCTGAAAATCAATTTTTAAACAAGATTTTCCAAAATATTCATCTTTTCATACCCAACACCAATCTTTTTGCGAAATCTTTGGAAAATCTGTAGGAAAAAATTGAATAGATAAAATAGAATTGTAGAAAAGTACAGAGAGTAAGATTTTTTATTTTGTATTAATTTAATTATTAAAATTTTTTTTATATCAAAACATTGAGTAATCTGATTCATTGCTGGAGAATTCCATACCTTTCACTTCTTCTCCTTTATTTTCTTGTTCTTCATTTTCATGTTTTGATTCATCAATGGAGAATTCCATCCCTTCATTTCATATATTTTTTATATTCATTTCATTTCAGAAGACTTTGACAGGTTGACAATGAGATAGTTGCGTGGGCGTCGATAAGAGAAATCATCGTTGGATTTTTAGGCAAACATCGTTCTCCCAATTATGAAGGATCTGTGCGACGAATGTTGGATGTTTTTTTCCAAAATTGGAGTCAATATGTGGCTAAAAATTCATTTCCCTCATCGCCATTTGGACTACTTCAGTCGACAGTTATCGACACAATCATCAAACTGCGATGCCATTTGAGTCCAGATAAAGAGGAAAACGAGCTCCAGATTCCATACTAGCCGAAACATTTTGGTGAAGTAAACATATTTTTGACTACGATCAGAAAGAAAATGAAAATGAAGAACAAGAAAATAAAGGAGAAGAAGTGGAAGGGATGAAATTCTCCAGTAATGAATCAAAAAATGAAAATGAAGAGCGAGGAAATAAAGGAGAAGAATTGGAAGGGATGGAATTCTTCAGCAATGAATCAGATTACTCAATGTTTTGATATAAAAAAGTTTTTTAATAATAAAATTAATACAAAATAAAAAATCAAACTCTCTGTACTTTTCTACAATTCTATTTTATCTATTCAATTTTTTCCTACAGATTTTTCGGCAAAATATTTGGTGTTGAGTGTGAAAAGATGAATATTTTGGAAAATCTTGTTCAGTACTGAACAAGATTTTCCAAAAATGTTGTAAAGTATACTAAAAGAAGTAATTTATAAAAAACGCACACAAAACGTTTTGTGTGCATATTTTATAAATTACTTCTTTTAGTATACTTTACAACATTTTTGCCAGAAGAAGTAGCAAGAAATTTTAAATATTATCAAAAAATTAAAAAAAATATGTTTCGAATATTTGGTCCCAAAAATTGGGTTTTTGGGATAAAGGTTGTTCACAAAATAAGTTTATTTGTTCAGTAACTACATTTCTACAAAAAATCTTGACGATATAAATCGAATATATGCGAAAAAAATCGATTTATAGGTCTAAATTGGGTTATATGAAGCTCGAAAATACAAACGGCCATAAAAAAATAAATCGAGCTAACTTTTACAAACCCAGCGAGGGTTTTGCTATTGGATAGGTATATTTTTAGAAAAAAATGGTCCGGTGCGGTTTGATTTCGATGACCCGAAAATTGTCGCACAGTGTTATTTAGGTAAAATCTAAATTTTTTTTTCAAAATGTATACCGGGAATATCCACAAGTTCATGATAATGACCCAACTATTGCTTTGTAGGATGAACATTTTTTTTATAAAAGCTCAACATTTTTCTGAGTGTAGGTACCCGAGCAAACTTCCTCTTGTTACTGTTTTTACTCGACATGTCAAGCGCTCCTTTGTTTATTTTCATCGATACCGATTCCTGCAGCCTGCAGCCTGCAGAGAGGAAGCAGTTTTTTCTTCTCTCTGCTCATCATCGTCGCTCCTTAGTATTAATTCGCGATTATTTGCACAAATCTACGCTGTATCGATCGGGTCCTTCCGGAGGCTGCCCGGAGTCTCCGACGCGCGCCGAACGCAGTCGTCCTGCTTCTTCAGTCCCTCAGCAGGAATCGGCCGCCGCAGTCGGTGTAACGGTCGTTTCGGGAAACGGTAGCGCGTACCGTCGCCGACGCTTGCTCTCGAGAATTCGCAGCCCCGTCTTCACACCCCCTATGTATGTACCGAACACCCCGACCAAATGTTTTTATTGTTTTTTTTTCACCCCATTATCATGTTTTTTTGTTTGTTTTATCACCAATTATTAGATTATCCCCATTGGGTATTTCCATTGTAACGGGTGCGACACTAAAACTGCATTTTTTAATGATAATAAAGTGTTTGTTTATATACACTCACAGGCAAAATAATCGATCCACACAAATTTTCGATGAATTTCAATCGCAAATAACTTGTTTATTTGATGTCGGATTTAAAGGAATATTAAAGAATATTGTATATAACTTAATGGACAATCGCTCAAATTTTAAAAAATTACTAAAAAATAGACACTCTGTAGAGTGGCAAAACCGTATATTGTTCTAAATTAAGTTATATTTATCAAGTCACATCTATTCTTAACAGTTTTGTTTTTGGTTCACCTCGATATATTTATTTTTGTGGAAAATATGGATTTTTTTAAAAAACATTGCAATTTCCAATATTTTTCTGTATGAAGAACTAAGGTTGCTATGGTCCATCCATAGGCTATGGAAAATGACAGTGACAGTTTTGTTGAATCATCCCATACTTGGACATGTCATACACGGCTTTCAAAAGCTATCAAATTGTTTTTTGCATATTAATGTTTAAAGTTTGAGGTGTCTTACTTTAAAAAATGGATATGTCTCCGACTGATGTTGCCAGAGCCATTAATTTAATCCAGGATGGACGGTCACAGTATTACGTGGCAAGTGTTTTAAACGTCACAAGAAGTAAAGTACAAAGGGCAACATCAGTCGGAGACATTTTTAAAAGTAAGAAGACACCTCAAAATTAACACATTAATTTACAAAAAACAATTTGATAGCTTTTGAAAGATGTATATTACATGTCCAAATATGGAATGATTCAACAAAACTGTCACTGTCATCCTCCATAGGCTATGTATGGACCATAGCAACCTTAGTTCTTCATACAGGAAATTGCAATGTTTAAAAAAAAAATCCATATTTCCACAAAAATAAATATATCAAGGTGAACCAAAAACAAAAATGTTAAAAATAGATGTGACTTGATAATTAAAACTTAATTTAGAACAATATACGGTTTTGCCACTCTACAGAGTGTCTTAAACTTATGGTAAAAAACATATTTTTGTTTAAACCTGTATATTATAAACTTACGTGTATTTTTTAGTAATTTTTAAAATGTGAGCGATTCTCCATTAATGTATCTACAATATTCTTTAATATTTGTTTAAATCCGAAATCAAATAAAAAAGTTATTTGTTTAATTTTTAATAATATTTTAAATTTGATTCGATTGCTTTGGATGTGTTTAATTTACTTAGTGAACTGATATTTTTACTAAAACGGTTTTAATTGATGCCAAAAACATAAAAAATTACATTTTTTTGTGGAAAAATTAGTCTTCTGCAAAAAGAAGTCTAAAATTATTACAGTGATCAAAATTTAAAATTTTGGCATAAATTAGTTGATTTATCTTAAGATATTTTACAAATTTTAATTGTTTTAGGCAACAATAAAATGAGTAGAAAAACTTTATTTATATAAATATTATTTTGTACCTTACTTTTTGACCATCCTGGAGAAAATTGTATTACAAAATTATTCTTTTAGGGGTTTTTTGGGTAGGCCAAATTCAGAAACGTTATCTGTTTTTAAATTTAAATAATGCCTAATAAATTTTGACGTTTGACAAATGAAACACACTGTATTTGTATAAAAGTGAATCAAATAATATTAAAAAAGCGTGTAAAACTAAAAAGAATTAGTCCACTTTCTACGAGATCTAAAAATTAAGAAAACAAAAATGTAAAAAAATTAAAAATGGTGTTCAATTTTTATATCAAAAATAGCAAGAAAAAATATTTTGCAAAGATTTCAAAATATGCAAAAAGTTGAACAAAACGCTTTTTTAGTTTTTATTCACACATAAATAGTTTCAGAGATATGACAATTTAATATTTATCAAATCATCCAACGAGTAAAAAAAAATCTTTTTATTCTCGAAAAAAAAAAAAAAATTTTAGAAAATGCCGATTTAATGTAAAATACCTCATATACATATCTGTTCGCATCGCAGGTCTTTTCAGCATGGCAGAATCTCAAAGAAAATTTGAAATGATAAAACTCCAGCTGAGCTAGGGATAAAATTGTCTGTTCACCTCAAAAGCATATTTTCCGCTTTTTGATCCCTTTGAATTAATTAATTTATGCAATTACGTTTTGTTTTCAGAGTATACGACAAAAATAAAAAGCAGTTTTTTGATACGTGCTATTAAATGTGACATGTAAAATATGTTCAGTTTCTATTCTATTATTTAAGGAGGTTTTTCATTTCCAAAAATTACATTTGTCAAAAATGGCGAATGCGCCGGGATTAACTTAAATACATAAATACATTTTATCTCCACGCGGTCTATAATTTAAACTTTATTGTTGTCAACATTCGATAAAGAAATAACTTGTTATGGCCTAGGCCGATAAAAATTTTTATGAGGCAAGTAATTAGTTCGATTTTTTCTCGCTAGGGGTATTGTTTTGACAAATTAACCCTTTTCTAAGAAATTAACGTACTAAACTGGTTTAATTTATTTATAATAAGCACTAATTTGTTTGTTTTACTGTTAATGTTTATTATTTTTCATTAAATTATCGTAAAATTAAATACGAATAATAAAACAAAAAGTGAGGTTAGGACATTGCAATTTGACGTTTCTGTGGATTTCACAGTTGTTTTCTTTTTCTTCGATTTAAATTATCTTTAAGTTTTAATTTGCCTTAAGTTTTCAGTGAAATTAAATGTTAAACACAGCGTAAACATTCCAAACTACCTATTCTTTTAATAAAAATGCAAACAAATTGCAATTAGATACCTATTTATTAAACAATTAATTGAATTCAATGTAATAGCAAGAGGGTAAGTAAACCATTTTCTTACAAAAATCCATTTCTACTTAAATCATGTAGCTAGGTATTGTCAAACTATTACTGCTTCTAAAAGGAATAATAATTATTGTACATTTAATGTAATCTTTAGCTAATAAATAAATTAGATTCTAAAAAAGTGAGGTTAGGCCGCTTTCATGTTTAATTAAATTGACCTATATAAAGTGCTTTAAAGATAAAATGTTGTATGCCATTCGGCCAAGAAGTGTCTTTTTGTGCTTAGCACAAAAAGCCTTACTTCTTAACCTAATGACATAAATAACTATTTTTTTTAATAAATAACATGAAATAGGTACTTTTTTAGTAGTTTTTAACTGCCTTTTAGGTCTTTTTTATTGTAATTTATTGTTATGATTATATAATTTATGTTCTTCATGATATTATTCGACAATGAATTAACAGTTTATTATTATTATTATTAATAAATTTATTATAACATGCTTACAATGTCATTTTATTTTTAAATCTTTTTTAACTAATTAACAGAAAAAACGTACTTTTTTATGTATGCCTTAACAGGAAAAAAGGTGCGACCCAGCGCGAATATATTATTTCTTCTTTCCAACAGAATACACAAAAGAGCATTATATCTATTGAACAATTAAGTTAATTAGGTGCCTCTGCTTATTAACTGACATGAACGACCCAGTTTTTGTGTGGGTGTTTCTTTAATTATTTACAATTTTTCGTTATAATGATAATTTACTCTTTAGGGTTTTTTGTTGTGTTTTTTTAAGAATACAATATTTTTTCCAGTGGTACTGAGATTTTTTTAAATATCCACAAAATATATAAGCTAAAGGCTTTAGCTAGATGTAAAGTTTATAAGCGAGTTGCATACTATACTTTTTCTACGACAAATACTTATTATTATCTTAAAATGATTTAAATCAAAAATTTGTATAGAGCGCCATCTATGAAACAATAGGGAAATCTGTTTGTCACCGTCAAATGTCACATTTTTATATTTTATAAACACAGATTATTAGTTTTTCACAGTGAAAGTAAAGAAAATGTTTTATGAGGACTTTACAGTGGAGTCCGTGCCCGAATTTAAGTTATAGTTTACTGCCGGCGAAATTAAAAGGTCAGTACAATGTTCATATAAACTTTTCAAATATTGGCGTTGAGAAACTATTTAATAATTTTGTATTTTTGTATTGAGATAATAAAATAATTTTCACATTTAGTATTATTTTACAAGAAAGGCACTTTATTTTAACGATTGTATGACCTTTGACAACTGTCGACTAATTTAAAACTAACTTCAGCCCGTGACTAAAAACCTGTTGCTAACTTCAGCCCGTGACTAAAGCGCCATAAAGCCACAACTTGTCAATGTGTATTTAAAAGGTCACTTGGTGTTATGGAAACATGTACGATAAAGGGCGTTTTAAAGGTGGGAATAGAAAAAGTCCATTAAAATAGATAAAAACTAAAAACCATAAAATGTAGGGTACATTAAGGCGACTTCTAAATAATGAAAGCAGTAATTTTTACTACGTGCTGTACAACTACCTCGTAAATTCACTAATAAACAAAATTTATTGCCGAATAAGTGAATTATTTTTAGGTACTAGCTCCAATAATATAAAAGTAACAATTTCCCGTTAAAGTGGTTTTCCGCACACACTCACAACTAACTAAGTCATTAACTGGGAAATAATAAAAAAGTTTCTTATTTGACCAACATGCATTAGAGAAGTTTCGATGAAATTCGAACGTTTGGTAAATTGAAAACGATATATAACAGGTTTTAGTTACACGGAGAGAAAAGTATAATGCTGATTACCATAATTATAATACCCTTTATTATAATTTATATAACTATTCAAATGGGAGAACTATCTTGTATATTGCCAGATACTATGCATATTTAGTAATTTTTAAATATCCATGTATGTTAAACCTTAAGGTAAAATATTATTATTCTCCACCAATTTTGTTTTTAATTCTTATTATAATTAGATTTTTTCCATTACAAATAAGTATAGTAAATTTTAAAATATTGTGTTGCCATTTTAAATATAAAATATTTTAAAAT